CAGCCTCGACTTCGTGTCAAATAAGAACGCTTTAGGCGATTGGGAGTTCTATTTGATCCCAAGTTACCACTAGGTTTGAAGCATGATAACAATAGACATTGCCACTCACGGCGCAAAATACATTTAGAAGCTCCTCAAGGAAAGGTAGAGACTCGATAAGTTTATGGAGCACCTTGGAGAAGGCTTCGTGCAGAGAATGATCATACACAGAAGTAAGATGGAAATTCAGTTGCATTTGTTCATATTCAGGTGAAATATCCAGAAGACGGTCAGAAACTCGTTCATGGATTTGTCGAAAGTTCTCTATCCACGTCTGAGTTAACTGACGACCAAAGATAAGACTGAACGACGCCTACCAATTTTATCATCCTCTTGGAGTTTTTCTGCTTTATGCACAAAAACTTCGAGACTGATGCCAGGGTTTTGATGGTAAGACGCGACGATGAACTCTACGAGCTTAGATATGGGTTGGTTATATAGATCCTGCTTGTGCGAAATAAGTAACCGGTAAAGACCAATAGCAGAATGGGCTGACTCGGATGTCGATTACGAAGACGATAGTGGAGAACTGAGACAAAGGTACACCAAGGGTGTCGACCGTGATATTAGCAGGGCAATCCCAAATTTCAAGTGGAATAACTGTGCTAATATGTCGATTTTATTAGGAAGGGAGATAAATCAAGGGTAGGACGGACTCTATAGGATGTTTGACGATGCGCAACGTTGTTTCGAGGTAAAATGATTGCTTTGGAGGTAAACTGTTGAATAAAACTTGCTGGATGGATGTTTTACCGGCCCTATAAGTGTACAAGCATAAGATGTTGGATGACTGGTAGAAGAGACAAGATCATGCCTGCGTAGACCCAGAAGAAGTATTTTTGTGCGCGCCACAGAGCCAGTCGAAGATCTACGTCCGTTCAGCTTTGGTCTTTTAGCAATGGGTGTAGAGGAGGAAGTTGCAGAGTAGTTAACAGCCGCAGAGGCCATGAGTGCTAAGCACTACGCTAAGCGACGCTGCAAACGGAACTTAAGTAGTCACGTGATCATGTTACGCACCGAGAATCAGTTTAGTTTAGCCCATCTCTCGTCATCGTACTCTAGCCTAAATCATGAAGTTTGGTACAAAGATAAGTGTACGGACCGTCTCTGTTTCACTCGGCAAGTTTTCTCACCACTCCTTATTAGACTGATTTGTACAACGAATGGAGACCTTTTTACTTGGACTACAACCTGCTTAAACGTGAGCTCAAGGTAAGGAGTTTGGCGAGATGGTTTGACGAAAACAGAGAAATGACCGACTTTTTCATCCCCGTTTCACCAGTCCCGAACAACGGCGCTGACGGGTTGGACTACCAAAGATGAGAATGAGTTCACCGTCATGCTCACTAAAGAGCTCGATAAAATTCATGATTTCCAAAAGGCTAAAGCGGGTTACCTTCTTCGGCTCATATCCGGCATGTACTCACCTGTGCTGTGCAGACCTCAGAACTCTCTCGGCGCATCAGAGAAGCAGAGAAGGACGTTCAACGGCTCGTAGCGGAGGAGCTTTCTTCAGATGAACCTCCATCTCATCCGACCAACGATTCTCCGTCTCCAGACCCGGAAAGCCTACAAGTCTCACAAGATCCATATGCTCATGATGGAGGTTCAGACGACGACATTACTGATGACGAAGGAGAACAATCAGACGATAGCTATGATGCTCTAGAGGAACGGTTTCATGGCTTGGAAGAAGAGGTTGCTATCCTCGTTGCAGACGTCCACGATTTGGCACTATATACAAAGTTAAACATTACGGGATTTATGAAGATCCTCAAGGCAAGTTGTCCTGTCGCCTTGAAAAAATTGCTTGGTTGATTGCTCCTACTCATTTATACAGAAACACGATGTAAAGCCTTTTCCGCTTGTCTATCTTTTTATTTAGATCTCATACATATACCTCATCAGAAACAAACCAACGTCCCACTCAAAATCTCCTTCATCCAAGAATATCTTGAAAAACGACCGTTCTACAAATATAATTGGGACGCCCTTATAGTCAAACTCTCGAAGCTTTATGACCTTGTTAGGACCCGTGGACATCCCGTCCAGGGCGATTCCAGCGCAGGTGGGAATCAGAGCGCTTTCGTCAGACAAACCACAAAATATTGGGTGGGTAAATTGTATATTTGCCAGGATGACTATGTTCAGTTTTTTGCATAGGTCCATCCCGATAACTTGGTTTCGCTAAAGTTGGCCATTCTCAGCAATCTGCCAGTGCTAGGTAAGCTCCGTCTTGATGTATGCGTGTTCGTTGCTCAATTATCACCCTCCACAATTACAGTATTCAATCCTGATAAAGAGTACGAGCCAAAAGATTCTGGTCTGTCCTCCCTCATCTCTCATTCATGTTCTACCTTAATCCCCCCTTCGCTGGTTTTATGTCGTCCTCATAGCTATAACCTCGATATACTTCGACAATGGAGACCTCGAGCTCTACCTTGGTAGGCTGGAGAAAACAGAAGGCGCCGAAGCCATTCGACTACGTTGGTACGGAGATGTAGATAACAAAACAGTTCGTGTAGCTCCTCAACACCCACGTCTCCCCCCACTTTGACCCCCCGTTCAGATATTTGTCGAGCGCAAAACTCATCGTGAAGATTGGACTGGTGAAAAATCCGTCAAAGCCCGTTTCCCATTGAAAGAGCACCTCGTTAACCCCTTCCTTCGGGGTGAGTACACCGTCGACGCTGATTTCCAACAACTGGTCACAAAAGGGAAGAAAACCCAGCAGGAAGTGGATACGATGATCCAGTTGGCCAATGAAATTCAGTATGCAGTGTTGACCAAGGGGTTAGGCCCTGGTGAGTTCCTTTACTCAAGTGTCTCTTGAAATTTCAACAACCTTTTCTTTTCCTTCCGGATAGTTGTTCGTTCATTCTACAACCGGACTGCATTCCAACTCCCGGGCGATGCTCGGGTGCGTATATCACTCGACACCGAGCTTACTCTTATTCGAGAGGATAATTGGGACAGTCGTTCCCGTGCTGGCGATAACTGGAGAAGAACAGATTTTGGGATTGATTTTCCTTTCGAAAGCGTGTTAGACCAGGACAAGGAGATCTTCAAGTATGCCATCTGTCATTGAAATTGTGGCAGGTGTTGATTCTTTGTTTCGTGGCGGTCTAGATACGGTGTTTTAGAAGTCAAACTGCAGACCCAGCTGGGCCAACAACCTCCCAAGTGGGTTACAGATCTCGTGCAATCACATTTAGTAGAAGCAGTTCCAAAGTTCAGGTACAGCATATCCTTGACCTATATGCGGGACATAGCTAACATTGGGCTTGTTCATTCCAGTAAATTCATTCATGGATGTGCAACTCTTCTCCCCAGCCGTGTGGATTTGGTTCCGTTCTGGCTGCCCCAAAGTCCGTCGTCGTTTATTTGATCGAAGCTAACTTAACGTTCTCTGTTATCAGTGGATGTAGATATCCTGAAACCTGACATGGGATATCTGTCCGTCATTGAGCGTCCGTCCGTTGTCTTGAGTAATCCATCTACCAAAGGCCAGACCCCGGCTACTACCCCTTCCTCCCAAGGAACCCAATCACCTCCTTCCCGCGACAGCTCGCCCGCTCTTGTCGTAGCTCTGTATTCTGAACCTCTTTCGGAGGGTGAAGAGGACGATGATGCGGAATATCATCCAGCAAAAGATGAGGGCAAGAGGACTGGGCTAAGTGGCGATGATTTAAAGGCTGCTATCGCCTATAGAGAACAAATGTTAAAAGAGAGGCGAGAGGCGGAGGAGGAACACCAGGCAAAGAGTGAAAAGGGGAAAGGGAGTGAAATGGAACCTGATGATCGTATGTTAACCGAAGGAAGGGAAGGTGAAGAAGCGAATGGGGAGCAGCATCGTCGCCATTACCATATGCGCCCCCGACACAAACGCTATGAATCCACCACAAGGAAATTACGAAGTGGGGCATTAGCCATTGATCCTTTGGCACCTTCTCAAGCATTTGATGAAACACTGAAAACAAAGCTCGAAGGTGCACAACTGCGAGAGGACGAAAGACATCGTTATCAAGAAGAGCAACCGTCTTCTTCGTCCCCGCAACGTACCCGTGCGCCCGATAGTCCCAACCGTTCCAGGTATGGTCGTAGGAATGACGAAACGGAAGGCAATGAAGAAGACGACCGTCCCGCGGACGAGGTGGAAGAGGAAGCTGCATTGGGTGGCTCGAAAATGAGATATGCTGAGGATAGGATTTTGGAAAGGAACGTGAGGGCTCCTGCTGGGAAGAGGATTTCGATCCCCGTGAGGATTGAACCCAAAGTTTACTTTGCGGCCGAAAGGACCTTCTTGGTATGTTCTTCCATTCCACCTACCGTCACTTCAGACTCAAGTTTGCTCCTCATCCGCAGAAATGGCTCTCAAATGCCGTTTTCATCAGTTCAATTGCAACTACTCTTCTCAACTTTATCCCTCCTGAAGATACCCGTGGGCTCATCAGCGCAGCTTTCTTTACATTCACTGCGCTTCTTTCCATAGCTTATGCTGCGGGCATCTTCATCTATCGGTCGTATAGAATGCGTGAACGCCATGCGGAAGGACTCTATTACGATAAATATGGGCCGACGGTACTATGTGGGGTGTTGTTTTTAGCTCTGGCGACTAATATTGGGTTGAGACTATCATAGATGTGATCAGATATTGTGCGAAAGACTGCATTTCTTTTTACAGCTCGTTTCGTAGGTAGCAAACGTACATTTTTTCTTAGATGGAGCTAACATCGAGACTACATGGGGAAAAATATGTGTTTCAACTCTGAGTTTGGTGTCAAGCCATATGTCTACCAATAGTAGACGTTTGTAAATAAGACACTCGCTGAGGCGATTGTCTTGTGTGTCAGGCAAGAGTGTATGCAAACGTATGGTTCAAGTTCACCTACCAGCCCTTCCTGCGAGCAAGTATCTGACGTTTCCTATGTATTATGTATAAAAAAATACCTACCAAAAACAGGTGCTACCAGGGTTCGAACCTGGGTTTCAGGAAGACTATTTCAAAATCCTGAGTGATAACCACTACACTATAGCACCTTGGAGCGTAAAAAATTGTAAGATAAGTTAAGAGATCTGCATCCGTACAACTGTTCCCAAAAAAGTTTCTGAAATTGCTTGAATCGACGTGTTTTTACAGGTCTCCTTAGAAAAATAGGAAAAATCTACAATTTGTTTCTAAAACAGAGGTGCCGGGGATGACTCGTGCGTACCGTACAGGTCGAATGTCAGCCGGGTTGATTATCATGTTGCTATGCAAATTGAATTGATAATATGCTTTCATTTAATTACTTGGAAATATGACACCTGTTTGTCTGGTCTATTTTTCCACTTGTGAGATCAACCAGCACTGGCCCGACATTTTCATAGCCATAATCATGCAGAATTGATGATGACAGCATCTTCGTGAGTCGTCAATGGTAGCCTAGTAGGCGTAATGTTATCCTCGGACCTGTAGACCTCACTGCTCAGTATTGTAAGATGCCTAAAATATTCAGATAGAATTCCACCTTCAAGTTCAAGTCGGAGCCTCTTACTGTTCAAGTTTTACGGGCATTCCTACTGGTCCCATTCCGGCTCCTCTTCCCCACTCTTGACTCGTTAATCATATTATCCCCGCTGGCCACAATATCATCCCTCCTATCGACCCCTACCGGGTTTCCAAAATTGTTCCAAGGTCCATTGGTAATCCCAGAACCAGACCCTGTCGGTTCTCTTCGACCTCGAAGTGAAGGAGCTTCGCTCACACCCATATGTGGCCGACTTGCAGCGATGTTCATACTTGGACCCATCATGCTTCGCATAAGAATATCAATATCGTTTGTCGACGGTTGGATTTCTAAAGTGGCTTGTGAACTGCGTCGGAGGGTTTGTTCAAATAATTCATTTTCGTCAAGCTGTGCCACTGCCTGACGAAGATTACCCATAACATGGTCATATAACACTGTAAGATAGAGAAATTAACTTTTGTGAAAGTTGGTCCCCATTCAAACCCTTTACACAGAGGGAGAAAGGTGAAAGACACGTACACTTCTCTTCCAAAGGATCTAATGTGCGTTCACTTATCCTAACAGGCATACCGCCGCTTTGGGGTATAGTAAGCAAAGGATCCTGATCAGCGTCAAATTCCTCCTTTCTTGGCATGTGAAGCTCCATCTGTTCTTCACACTTTCGCGCAAAAACACAGTCGGACAACTTGTATTCTGTATCACTATACGCCGTCTCGTCTAGCCCGTAGACGGTTCCGACAGAGGAGGTGGGCGAAGGCATGCGATGAATTAGACTGGCAGTGTTGTGCCGGTCAGTGACCACTGACTAGCCGTGATAGTTAGGCGCTTCAGCAGCGCCATGACTGCTCCCACGGCTACCGATGTGATGTAATGTGCCAGTGATGTACATAATATCATAGAAACACTACTGGCGATATCACAAAAAAGCATTGGATTCTTTCTAGCTGTCTCGGAGTCTAGACGAGGAATTGGAGCTCAACAAGCTCCTTTATTTGGATGAGATGAAGATATTAACGCGAAGATTCGAATTCATGTCTTTGCATTGTTTGCAACCACCATCAGGCTTCGTGCGGCGTGCGCCTCGTCTTACTCAGTCGTGAGGATGGAGATCAATTTTACCTCGAAATTCCCATCCATATTGCTTGTGCAGTCTGCCTAAACCCTCGAAAGTATCTTCGATATCTTGGCTGGTGCGTCCTTGGCGTTGAGGGAATTTTGGCCGATGAACAAGAGAATGAAATTTCATTGAATGAAAAGCTACTTGATCCGGGCATCTACAGGTACAGCCAGGCGATTCTCCTCTCGCCCATGCCGTTGATCTTGAGGTCAGTCATCAAGCAACGATGCCAAGTTCCGTCTGAAACTATGGCCACCCGCGAAGATTTTCGCAACAAGCTCTTAGTGCGCGATGGCCGTTGCGTGTGGACAGGTCTAGACGGGTTAGGAATGCATATAATTCCTTACAGTAGGGGTGACGAGGCATGTTCACACTGTTCGTGTCTTTGTCTGCCAGCTAATTAGATGGATTGCACCAGCGGCTGCAACTTATTATCGACAATCGCCCACACCTTGAAAATCTCGAATCACTCATAAACGACATTCGTAACGGTATTTACGCTGAAGATGGTCTTCATAATCATTACTTTGACCCACGAGGTCGTTATCATGATTCTGAAGGTTGTTTCCTTCTTTTATCGCCCCTTTCACCCACTAATATTGCGATAGACCCCCAATCCCATTCTCGAAACCACCGACATCCCAAGTTGAGCCCCACGACTGGATATAGACCCAAGTCGCGGTTTCCCGGAAACATCTCGATATACACTTCAATGGATCGTTAGCCCGACACACCCAGCTATCCAGCAACATTTTTCCAGACAACAACGATGCTGCCTTCTTAGACCAGAATTTACCTAACCCTGCCGACCTTCTGTTACATTACAACTCCGGTGCCGCAGCGGTAAAGCAATGGGGTAAAAATATTGGTATTCTGACCAATCGTCTGGGTGTACCCCGGTCATCTGTACCTACACAGGCAGGAACGGGTCCAACAAGGCTCAAACATGATGGTAATGTTGCTATCCGGAAGCAGGCTGAAGATAGTATAAGTCAAAAGGACAGCTAGCTGGTAAAGATAGAGATACTAGCGACTGCGGCCGTTGACTCAGAGATACAGGATTACCGGGATGAGGGTTATTTTTCTGGGGTAACTCAAAGGCGGCTCGGGATAGGATTTCTCACAAGGAACAGGAGTATAATGGAGGAATGGAGGGCTACAGTTACAAGTTCACTACGTGTATAAGCTTGTACTAGTATATTGGGGTCGCGTGTGCGCGAGTTTTTCTTTATCAGACTAGAATAGCAGTTACTGCACTATAGTAGTACTCCCTAACTAAAAAATACTCATAAAAATTTTCTGAATCCAAGATTTAATTTTTTTGTTGGGGCTGTGGAATATTTGTTGTGATCACGCGGGATTTCCTGGGTGGATCACTTTGATTCACTCAAGATTTTAAACAAAAGGCTATGTCTCATCAAATTCTCTTGTCAAGCATTCTAGTCGTGGCACGGCTCCTTTATTTGGTGTCTACATTTCACTTGGAGGACGGTGCAGGGTGGTGGATGTTGTGCATATCATTCATTGATCACCGTTGCGCCGCGGAACGGTCCGTATATTATTATAAGGTGGCGTCCAAGTTATGTAGCAGGGATTCTTTTTGGGAACTGCTGCATTATGCCTCAAGTTGATGATAAGTTCTTCTCAGAAGTGTGTAATCTCTCTCGCACCCCACTATGAAAGTCGTGGTCGTCAGCTGTCCCACTGCTTCCGATGCCAGTGCGACCGCTATGATCGCGGTAGTCCATTAATATCCATGCACACCTCGCGAATGAACGAAAGAACCTCTTTAGAGAATAAATAGTGAATGTATCCGAGTCTTCTATCATGACGTTGTAAATTAAAGTGTGGATGTGGATGCAGACGCCCAACAATTGTACCGGTAGCCAAAGATATTTCAAATAACATTACGAGTCACTATCATGGAGTATAACTGAGGCTTGAGCCATGCTTATTATCATGGTGAATCGGCCTTGAATATATTTGAATTGTAGACGCAAGATATGCACGAAAGTCCATAACAAGCATCATAAGGATTGAAGCAAGTATGGTCACTTCTGGAATGTCCATCAATAACGGAGATTAGTACATTATGAGGGAAGAACGCCGCTTGAGAATCGAGATCCCAGTCCAATAAAGTCGTCATCAAAACATGAATACACTGATACTTAGATAAGTTCGTATTCCTCAGTAATGGAGCATATGCTGGCACACGCGATACTGGCAGTTGCAGACTAAGGAAAGGCCGGCTAGTTGATTTCGGTAGTATTCAGTGTCAATATGACTTGTGATGATCAAATACAAGTATCCCTCTGAAACCACATAGTTTCTCGTAGTTTCCCAAGCACCCCAAAGGGTGAAAAGCGACCGGCTGTTTGGCACGGCGGATGGAGAAAGGTTTTAGTAGTCACGTAACCGGTCATCGATGTGTTATGCATCAAGAACGGTGGAGACGGAAAGTCATAGATAACCTCCCGGTGAGAAAAGACTGTGACCGAAGCGATAACAGATAACCCCATCATATACCTCAGGTAGCTAATAATCATAATGCTCGAGAGATCCTTGAGCATATCGGAAAGCCTTTTCCGTCCGTGCTGTAGGCAGAGCCCAACGTAGACTCAAACCTAATTAGAGCTGGATCCAAGGCCTAAATCCTAGAGAAGGGGAATTGTCCATTATTATCCCGATGACCGAGTACATCCATGTGCGCCACCACCTCATGTGTTTGTCCCTTGTCAAGGAGGGCATTGCGTAGACTTCGACGATAACATGCCCATAGTTGATCTGTCCCTTTAGTACATTTGATATCAATCCATTATTGCTTATCGCGAACGAGGGGCATTTGATGGCAAATTCCTGGTTTGAGGAATGTCTCACGTATAAACGCGATGCATTATCGGGAGCATAAGAGGGTCGTTTTGGCTTTTTATTGAGCGAGAGCATGTTGATCTGTGTTTCCTTGGCTACTGAAAAAGCATAAGTAGAAATGAAAGGACTCGTTTAGAGCTGGTCTCTATAACGGTGATTAGACAGAACTCTGCCCCTGAAATGATGTTACGGGGCTCCGTATTATGTACGACGTCGGTCCAATATTGTTTGTTGCGATAGACAGCGCTAACTCAAAGTGTGGCCTTTACACATCAAACGGCATCTAGATGAGATTGTAATCCGGGAGAACCATGATTGAGATTTCTGGGATTCGAAGGATCGGTTTCATCCGAATATGCCAAGGTGACAAGGTCATTGCCTCATGCAAGTTTAATTTAGTCTGTTGTCAAAGCAGAGGATTGAGATAAGTATTGGATCATCAAATTACGACAAAACTTACCAATTACAAAGATCACTACAATTATGTAGGTTGTGACCCTGCTTGGTTGAATGTTTACATATTGTCCAATGGTTGTTTTTAGTCC